CCTAATTTTTTTTATGTTTAGTAGAGACGGGGTTTCACCATGCTGGCCAGGCTGATCTCGAACTCCTGAACCCAGGTGATCCACCTGCCTTGGCCTACCAAAGTACTGGGACTACAGGTGTGGGCCACTGTGCCTGGGAGAGTGTTAGCCACTGTGCCCAACTTTTAATAGGATTTATATACATTTCAGTGAGAGTGCAAAGCACTTACAGACATAATTAATGCTCTAAGAAAAAGCAGAAACTTCTTAGTTTGTAAGGGGAGAATTAACTGTCTCTTTTTTTCTTCTTTGAGATGTAATCTCTCTCTTCTTGCCCAGGCTGTAGTGCGGTGGCGCAATTTCGGCTCACTGCAACCTCTGCCTCCTGGGTTCAAGTGATTCTCCTGCCTCAGCCTCCCAAGTAGCTGGGATTCCAGGCATGGACCCCCATGCCCAGCAAATTTTTGTTTGTTTGTTTGTGTTTTTAGTAGATATAGGGTTTTGCCATGTTAGCCAGGCTGGTCTCAAACTCCTGACCTCAGATGCTCCACCCACCTTGACCTTCCAAAGTGCTGGGATTACAGACGTGAGACACCACGCCCAGCCTAACTCTATTATTTTTAATTTGTATTTGTCCTTTTACCTGTAAAGAATAACAAAAAAAATCTTCACCCCAGAATACATCTGAAAGATTTTTAAATGGCTATGTATAGGCCCGGCCAACAGAAGAGTTCTGCAAAGTTGCCTTTTATGGAAGGAATTTGGATGTTGAGGAAATAAAGTGAAGTAAACAGCAGATGCAAACGGGCTTTCTGTGAAGGCCCCTTGTTTGGGTCCAGGAAAGAGTAACTCATCAGAGAGAGGACTACGTCTGACACCTTTGAAGGTCTGACAGAGAAACTTACCACAGCTACTGTCTGTTTTTTTCTGAGAGTTGCTGCCTGGGAGACATCTGCAGACCAACACCTCCTTTGCCCCATGCCTCTCTTTCTCTCTCCATCCCTAACCTGTTTGGCACCCTCAAACCCCGATTCTTTTTGTGGATGCAGCCTGGTGTGAAAGCCTCATCCGCTGGGCACTGTAGCTCACACCTGTACTCCCAGCACATTGGGATGCAGAGGCTAGTGGATCACCTGAGTTCAGGAGTTCAAGCCCAGCCTGGCCAACATGGTGAAACCCCGTCTCTACTAACTACATCAAAAAAACTAACCAGGCATGGGGATGCACGCCTATAATCCCAGCTACTCAGGAGGCTGAGGCAAGAGAATTGCTTGAACCTGGGAGGCAGAGGTTGCAGTGAGCCGAGATCACACCACTGCACTCCAGACTGATAGAGTAAGACTGTCTCACAAAAAAAAAAAAAAAAAAAGGCAACAACCATCTATATGCCTTGTTTCCCTGTTAATCTCTATTATTAGTTTGTTTTAGAAGCTGAAATTACCAAAACTTCAGGGTGTCTACTTAAAAGGAAGGGGCTGAGGAAGGAAGGGCTGAGGCACAAATCGTGATTTAAAGAGTTTACTTGAGCCAAAGAGAGGACAGCTGCCTGGAAGACTCAGACCCAAGTAACCTTGAGTATGAGCTCTTTTCAGCTTTGAAAATCGAAAAAAAAAAAAAAGAAAAAAAAAGAGGAAGGGGAGGGATAGGAAGTAGGCTGATAGAAAGTTGTTTGTCAAGAACTCTCACTGGTTTACAAAATAACATTGATTAGTAATTGGCTATACATCCTTAAGCTGTAGGGTGTGTGTTATAGTGTCTGGTGTGGCACTGTTAGAATGATTTATAGCTATTTGTGGCAATAGCAAGCAGTTTAGCGATGAATACATAGCTCAAGGGAGGGAAACAGGACATGACTGAGGTCTCACTATAATGCCTCTCTGGGTCTGCTAATTTAAAAGAGCTCACATTCCTCAGATAAAAGTTATTTTCTTTCCTCAAGGGGAAAAATTTTAAGTTCCCTTCAACTATCTTTATTTAATGGGAAACACATGTTCTCTTTTATCTCATTTAAAATATAAAACATGCCTTTTTAATTAGAAAACGGTGTCTTGTTCTGTTGTCAGACTGGAGTGCGATGGCGCAATCTCAACTCACTGCAACCTCTGCCTCCCAGGTTCAAGTGATTCTCCTGCTTCAGCCTCCCAAGTAGCTGGTACTACAGGCACCCGCCACCATGCACCCCTCTAATTTTTGTATTTTTAGTAGAGACAGGGCTTCACCATGTTGGCCAGGATGGTCTTGAACTCCTGACCTCAGGTGATCCGCCTGCCTTGGGCTCCCAAAGTGCTGGGATTACAGACATGAGCCATTATGCCTGGCCCCAAACAAACCTTTACACTTACGTTTCAAGAAATAAGTATCTGTGAAAGAAAAATTTCCCTTTAAGTTCTTAACAACTCTACTGAGTGCCTGGAGTTGACCAAAGATGATTCCAAAATTGTTGGTGGTCTTTCCATTGAGAAGAAGGTTTATTTTTCTTTTCCTTGACCTGGGGCTGTCTTTGACCAATTGCATATGGTGAAAGTGACTTGTATTTTTCCCCCTTGGATTCTAAAAGCTCTCAGCTGTCCTGCTGACAAATTCCCTTGGTGAAAAGACAGGCTGGAGAGGCCCTAAGGCCACATTTTGGGGAATCACTGCCAAGGCACCAGACAGTGAGGAAGATTGTTGACACTTTATACATCAGCTGCTAGCTGAAGTTGACGCTACAGGCCAGCTGAGACCTGCCTAAATTCCTGTCCCATGAAATCATGGTAACTAAAAATAGTTCTTGTTTTGAGTCATCAAGTTGTGAGATTTTGTGTTATATAGCAAGCAATGATTGTAACCGTAATAGGTTCACCTGCTCAATGCACAGCAAGTGAATATACTGAGATACCAGGGACTGCGGCAGAGTTTAATAATCATACGAGGAGAAGAGAGGAAACCTCAAACCCGCCTCTCCAAGGAGTATGGGGCTTGAGGTTTTAAGGAACTAAGAGAGGGCAGAAATGTGGGATCCTTGATTGGTGGAAGAGTGCAGAATGAAGACATGGGGTGAGGAGAGAAAGAACTGTGTTATCATGCTGATCTCCTTCTTCTCCGGGGCTCTACAAACTGGTTACATCAGCCTTCTGCTGGAATTCAGGATCTCAAGAACATCTTGAGCAATTCTTAAACAAAAGCCTTATGATTCTAACTTCAGAAACCCTACCTAGAGAAACAGTGGGCATGCAAAGTGTCAGTGTCTGGTGCTGTGTGACTCTTGGTTACAAGGAAGTGGACCAAAGTGAAGACCGATTGATGCTTCATTGTAACTATATTTCTGTTTCAGAAGCTGACATGTAGTTCTTGTTAATTCTATGAAGGCAGTTTCATAGTCAGAGCAGGGCCCAATGCTGAATCATTTTTTTGTTTTGTTTTTTACTTTTCTTCCTTTAATAAAAGTAAAAGGGCATTGTATTAAGATTCAGTGCTGCGCTGCGGCTGAACCATGAGGTTAGGATTCCTTTTCCTCGGAGGGCTTCTCAGCTTTAAAGCTGGAGCGCAGTTTGATTTCTAAAGCATTTTTTTTTACTTTAATATCTAATAAAATACAGTTTCTTGTTCAAAGAGGATCTCCACGTAGCCATAAAAAAATACTTTCAAATCAAAAATAAAAGCAACATTAAAAAATAGCCCTATTCAGGAAAAAATAGGGGAAAAGATTCATTTGTGATGCTCACACAAATATATTTGTACCAGGTTACAGAGAAAAACAAAGGAAAAAGATCTTCAGTCATGGACCCCGTCCCTCTCTGGAGGGTTTCAACAATTTAACTGCAAAATGCAGAAGTTGGTAAAGAGAGCAGCAACCCTCGGCAACAGAGTTAATAACCACAGAGGTTGGTGGGGGAGGAGGAGGATGGGTATCAGAAAAAACAAACAAGAGAGAAAGAGCTGAGTACGGAGATGGATTGGGATTATTTGCTCAATACCTGTGTTAATCAAGTTTATTTTATCTTTTAAAAAAAGTTAAACAAGAAATGCCAATTATTATTTTCTTTTAGCGTGCTAGTAAGAAAGGTTGTATAAACTCTTCCCTAAATCAGGAAAATGCTCAATTATGATATTTTTTATTTTTCTAGAAAGTTATTTTCATTTTCAAATGTACTTTACTAGCATCTGAAAAAGAATCGTCAGGGCGTAGTGGCTCATACTGGTAATCGCAGCAGTTTGGGAGGCCGAGGCAGAAGAATTGCTTGAGCCCAGGGTTCAAGTTCAGCTGGGCAACATAGGTAGATCCTATCTCTAAAAAAATTTTTTTTAAATAGCTGGGCATGGCGGCTTCAGCCTGTAGACTTAGCCACTTGGGAGGCCGAGGTGGAAGGATTGCTTGAGCCGGAAAGGTTGGGGATGCAGTGAGCTATGATTGCACCAACTGCCCTCCAACCTACGTGAAAGAAAGCAAGGGAGGGAGGGAGGGAGGGAGGAAGAAGGAAGGAAGGAAGGAAGGAAGGAAGGAAGGAAGGAAGGAAGGCAGGCAGGCAGGCAGGCAGTTAAGAAAGGGGCAGGGAGTAGGTTTAGCAATGTGCAATGAGCATCTAATAAATTATAGTTGCTTCTTCAAAGAGGATCCCCGTATAGCTATGAAGAGGTATCTACCCATAGGTGAATACATGTAGGTGAAGGGATATACAATACAGGGTAAATTGAAGGACAGAAAGGGAGCCCAGAGAGCCATAAGGTAGGGTCAGTCTCCTTCCCAGAAGGAGTGTGGGGTGGTTGACACACTTCTCTCTCACAGCAGGACTGGGCAAATACAGCGTGGTCTGGCACAGGAGAAGATGTGTGGCTGCAGCCAGGAGGAAAGAGGAGCAGAGTCCGGGGTTTCAACCATCCCTGAAATAAAGGATGATGAGGGGATTGCTGCTGATCAAATACCTGAAGAACAGAATTTCTGGATGGCAAAGAAGTGACATGAAGTCTGACAAGACCAGAATATGGGCACTGTGGGGCCCATGGCAGAAAACCAGAAGAAAAGAGAAAGCTAGACCATTTGATGTTTTGTGGTTTCATTTATCCGGCTTGTTTTTCCACATTTAAGATGTTGAACTTGTCTGTAGGGCTGGGAAAGAAGAGCTCTGAATTTGAGGATCAACTTTGCCTTACTTGAAGTAGTTTTCTTCACTTTTTTAGTTGTTGGGTCCTACTTGGTGTTCCCTTAAAAAATTTCAGGATCTTTTACCCTATGGAAGTCAAGTTGCTACCATCAGCAATAGCCACCCCGGAGTGGCAGGAATTCTTGCTGTAGGTGGTGATCTAGTGACCTAAAAGTTGCTATCTGCCTATTGGGAGCCTGGTAAGCAGCCCGGCACTCCCATCTCTCCAGTGTCCTCTCGCTCTGGTCTTAAAGTCTCCAAGGCCCCAGGCTAAGTAGAAACCCAGCCAATGAATAAGTCTCCCAAGGCTTTTCTGCCCCCAAGGTTATCCCCCTAAGACAACACAGGTGAACAAAGGCTTCCCTCCTTCCAGGACTGCTTGTTAATCAAGGAGGGCCTGAGTTTCTCTCCCACCCTCTCACTCCTAGCAGAGATTCAGGCTGGCCTTGAGCTGCTACTCTAGGAATCCCTTCCTTCTTCTTAGACTCACGGTTGAACACAATGCTTCTCTTTCTTCCCGGAAGGCAGCAGCTCCTGAAACTTCTCAGAAAGCTTCCAGCCTCTGCCTGTTGGGCCTCAGCGGCTGATTGGCTTTGTTTCAGCAGTTGGATGACGGTTGGGAGGTGGGGTTTGCAGGGATACTGAAAGGAAAGTCCTTCAGTAAAGGAAGGAGGCCTGGTGAACGGAAGTAGAAGATTCACAATTGGAGTCCAAAAAATAGAATGTTATTCCACAGGAGAAGGTAATAGATGTCAGACATCAAAAGCAGTAAATCATCTAGAGGTTAGGAGGGGAAGGAGAAGGGAGTTAAAATGCAGCAAAGATGGATGAGGAGGCCACTCTGGAGTGCAGGGAGAAAGAATGCTGTGACCAGTGAGTCACAGGGAAGAATTGAGACATATTATATCCATATGAGGGAGAGTATATATATATATACACACACATTCCCTAATTCAAGGTAATATATTATACATATTATAATGTTCTATATATACATTCTCCCTAATTCAAGGTAATGTCAAAGAGATAATATAAAATACGTGTATATTTATATACGTATGTTACTTCATTGAGACTCCATGTTCTCATAATTTAATATCTAATTCATAGAATTTTTAAAGGATAGATGAGGTAAGGAAAAGAAAACACCAAAAACATAGGTAGGCAGGCAGCAAGGCTATATTCCTCACTCTTGTCTCTTCCTGTTAGACTTTAAATTCCTTGAAAGCAAAAACTGTGTCTGTCTATCATTGCATTCCCCAGCACTTAACAGTGCCGTAGCTTAGTAACTGTTTCGCGATGCATGAGGCAGTCATTTTGGATACAGAATTAGCAGAAGGCGGTCATGATGAGGGTAACAAGTAGTATCGTATGAAAAAGAAGAAAATATTATTAATGTGATATAATAATAATTTTAAAGCATTATTAAAATATTATTATTATTATTATTAATGTTTTGGTTTGAAAAAGTAGCTAGAATAGCCAAGATTGATACCTCATTTATTATTTGCCCAGTATTGTGCTAAGGACTTGGCGTATATCCGCTCAGTGAATCTTGACAGCAACCCTATGACTCAGGCATAATTTTGACTCCCATTTTATAGATGAGGACCACAAAACACTGGGAGCTTAAGTAATTTGCCTAAGGCCATACAGTAATAAGTGACACAGCTGGGATCTGTATACAGTTGTCTGACTTCATTCCTGGGCTCCAAACCACTGCAAACCAAACCACATACAACATAACCATTGATGAAATGGTAATATGTTTATCCAACACATAAACGTTTTGGCAAGGTTAAAACATTTTAGAAAATGTAATGGGTTCCTAACTTAACTGATGTTCCCATGTGAAAGGAAATAATTATCAAAAGACAATAGCTTCCGTAATCACCACATTTCTTATTTTTTATTTTTTAAAACGAATCTTCAACATACTTACTAAGGCATACAGTTATTTTTGAGCAGTCTACGAGATAAGTATTGAGAAACCCTCTAGAATACAACATTTCCCAAACATCTGGAAATTTTGTGTGCTGTAAATAATGTTAGTAATTTAAGGTTGGACAAATGGATTAGAAAAATAAATGGAAAAGATTTTAAATGCATATCCTAAAACAGTTATCTAAATCTTACTAGGAAAAAAGATATAAGCATATTAACATTTTTGCTTTCTGGATTAATGGTAAAATTATGAAACTACCTCTATCATTTTCTTAATTCAGTGTAAGATCCATTTTCCAGGGCTATATAATTAATTATAAAATAACCTGTTGGTAAGATTCACAATGAATATCTGATGTAAAAAAAATTTATTTTAATATTTTATTCTCCATTTTAGCTTATTTTATTCATGTGCGTGTTTTACATACAAATCCAAGGAATTTTAAGGAGGAATATTATAAAAAGAGAAGTGATCCACTATTTCTCCACTCTAGTATTGGACTAGCTATTTTATATACTTCTTTCCTATGATAATCCTACCTTCATTTTATGAATGAGAAGAGATTGAGGCTGAAGCTAATGAACTTTTCTAAATTTACTGCTTAGGGGTGGGTATGGGGTAGTTCTCTCATTTGACTCTTTCAAAAGTTGTTTCTCTTTATGTAGCCTTTCATTGGTGCAACACATTTGATGTTCCAAATTCACTAACACAATGAACGTTATGCCCTATTATAATCCTGTTGGACCTTATGGCCTATTACTCTGTCTGATAATTGAAAAATAATAATCGTATTGAGATACATTAGATTCTAAACTTTACCTCAAGTCATAAAACCAACTAGCTACAATGTGAATACTTAACATCACCTCCTCTGCCTCCCCTGTCTTTTCCATCACAGGACTTTTTTTTCCATACAAATACATTATAAAACTTTCTGTGGCATGTAATTTGCCACCAGTTGAATCATTTCATAGTTGTCATTGTATCTCTTTCAGAATATTAAAGAGGCCTCTGGCATGTTAATTATTCTAATTTGGGCATATTAACTTTATAATTGTTCTTATACTGGTTATACACTAATGTTAAACTTTCTGATAAAATTTGCCTTGAAAGTTATAAGATAATTTTTTCTTTCTGTCAGAAATAGCATATGCGAAGACATTTGGACTTTACTTTATAGGCAATGGGATGGCCTTACAGAGCTTATGAACAGACCATGATGGAACTTGACTTGCGTTTTAGAAACAACTAAGATAACAGTAGGGTCAACAGCTGATGGAAAAAGACTCTGCAGACAATAACACAAGTCTAGAAGCTTTTCCAATTGTGTAAGTAAGAGGTAAGCTGATAGTAAAGGTGGCAAGTTGTAGAAAGATTTCGGAGATACTCAGTGATCCCATAAGAAAAACTAGAAGTGTTATTCTGTTTTAGAGAAAAGAGGAGCTAAATAATAAATTGAGTTTGGGACATTAAAGGGCTTTCTAGGTAAAAGAATAAAATAATTGGCTGGTATTTAGAAGATGGGACCTACGGATTTCTTCTCCAAGGTGCTCAGTTATTTTCGCTACATTTTTCCTTTTACAAATGTTTTGACCTGAACAAAGCAGAATTGACTAAGATGAATGAGCACTGGGGTATAACGGAATCACCAATATGGAAAAAAACAACAACTGGCCGGGTGTGGTGGCACATGTCTGTAATCCCAGCTACACAGGAGGCTGAGGCAGGAGAATCCCTTGAACCCAGGAGATGAAGGTTGCAGTGAGCAGAGATTGTTCCACTGCACCCTGGCCTGGGTGACAGAGTGAGACTCTGTCTCAATTTAAAAAAATAAATAACTATAAGTTTTCCCAACTCATAGTACTTAAGCGTGCCATTTTCATAAAAACTAGTTTCTAAACTAGACACGGTTGAAAAAAAAATTCACTTTCCCTGAGAGAAAGAGTACTGAGGTATAAGGTCAGACAGCCCTTTTTTAAATCTCCTGATTCTACTGGGTAATCAATGAGCTGTTCAGCGATAGCCTCATCTTTAAATTGAACTAATAACATTATCAGTCTCGTAAAAGATTTAATAACGTAATTCATATGAGCAGTAGAGGTCCTAGCATGTAATACATGCCTCCAGAACATTAGCCACTATTATTTATTATTTCCCAGAAGTAGAAATATATATTTAGCTACAGAAAAATTTTAAAACATAGCTGTTATATACATATTTATAACATATAGATTTGTGTGAATCTATAGTACTATCTTAAATTATAAATACATTATCTGCATTGAATATTGGTATAGAGATCAAATGATTATAAGGTACATTGCTGTTAAATAACATAGAGTAATTTATATTTTCAAAAATTAATGCTATGTTTATCTTTCAAAGGTAACCTTGACATTCTTTCTCAATTTGGAGAATAAAAAATATGAGGTTTTTCAACTCTTCTACAAGTTAATAAAACAAAAGGAGACTAGTGAAAAAATGTCAAATAATTATAAAAAGGTACAATTTATTAATATAAAAGTATAAAGCAAATACAACACATTCATTTAAGCTTGACGGATGTAGACACAAACTTTCAAATTGGATTGTCAGTTTTATCAAACTTGGAATAAACACACAAACACACTATTTACAGATTTTGGTAAAACTAAACAGAAACGGAACAAGTAGGACATTTATTTTTCACAGAACTAAAATGACACTAAATGACTTATGTACTTGCAAAGAAGCAGGTGAAGTTTTCAAAGGACAGCTTTATTTCTTCTTGTTGTTGTTTTTATGGTATCCAAATGAAAACCAAGACAAATTCTCCTGCTCTTTTACTTATAATGATGAAACCTCAAGGCCTGTACTCAAATATGTATTAAAATATACCCATACATATATGATTTCTTGCCAAAAGGCATCATTCTTCTTCAAATACAAAAACATAATAGGAAAAAAAATTTTTCATTTTCCTAAAACAATCTTAGATCACATTTTTATCTTTCTTCTGTGTATAGCCCTGGAAAAGTAGTTTGAATGCAAAGCCCCTTGACAAAATATCTGCTTTTTGAAAATGTTAATTTAATATACAAGAAAAAAAAAGCCTCTGGGAGAAGATGATAAAAGAGTTAGAATTTCTAACTCCTAGGCTGAAAAACAGCATATCAGAAAGCCATTCAATTTCCTTTACAATGCTGATTAAAGCCTTCATTTTAACCTTCATTGTAAATGGAGGACATTAATCCCTAAGCTGTTCTTAAACAATTAATATTAACCTTCTTCAATTCTACCCATGATTTCCCTGAAAAGCAATAGTTGAGTTGTATTTATTCAGTGTAAGGGATAGGTATTTCATTTTAAATAAAATCATATAAGCATGTCTCTATGTGAGATATAAATGTTATACTCATCTATGTATATAATGCTAAGTCATGGAGAAATTACAGTAGTAAAATAATACAGTCATTAGCAATGTCATTTTGAATTAACTGATAAAAAGAGTAAATGCTTGAACCGTCTTAGAAAACAAATTACTGTACTTTCTAGAACAGTCTAGTACTTTCTAGAACAATATCTTATTCTGCTGAAATAGCTTGTAGAATCATAAATAGCTGATACACAGTTCCTGTGATTAAGGTTAGGCAGTTAAGAACAGCAAATCAGAATTTCCTTAGGGTCCATTTTGAGAAAATAATAGATAATTTAGTCATTTGTATGGCTTTATAGGTAAAGTTAAAAAAAAACATACACAACTACACATACTGACTTCTGGAGTATACAGTTGGTGACTTCATTTCCATGTGATAACTTTTCTGGGTTGTTCGATGGGAAGGTATCGAGTATCTGTAGCTACTGCTCTTTTCATTGCAACAAAAAACACAACAGAACAGGGCTCCTCCAGCAATCAGCACCAGTGCCGTGGTCCACCCTATGTAGAGGGCTTCTCCAAGCTCACGTTTTTGGGCAACATCCACTATTGGGTTGTAGAAATCTCTGATGATGGAATTGGCAACCCAGCTCACAGGGATGAGCACCACTATGCCTGTGATGATGAAGATGATTCCAGCGGTCAGCAGAGTGTGACCCTTCACCTTATTGTCCTCCATGCACCTGGTGCATTTCATGCCAAGGATGGCTATCATGAAAGCCAGGAAGGACATCACGGAAGCAGCACACATTAGTCCTCTGGATGCCTGTAGGTCCGGAGAAAGAGCCAGCAGAGAATCATAGATTTTACACTGCATCCTGATGTTAGCATGCCTCACGCAATTCATCCACAGTCCTTCCCAGAGGTTTTCAAAAACTACAATGTTGCTTTCAATGAAGGCAGACACTCTCCACTGAGGCATGACGGTGACAGCCACTGTGCCCACCATGCCAACACCACCAATCACCAGTCCAGCAATTTGTAAGGCATAGGTTGCCATTATCCTCTGGGATGGGTTTCAGCCGGCTGAACTCCTGAGCTGCTAGATCTGCTTTGAAGCAAGGTTCACTGTGCCACAGGACAGAACAGTTTTTCCTGTAGTAATGAACTCAGAACCCAGTGGTTTTTCAAATAAGAGCTGCTTTGCTACTTCTGGCTAGATAAAATCCAGTGCTGGCTGGCTGAGCTGTCCCTGCTATTGACTTCAACAGGGAAACTTACAAATCAGGTGTGGCAACTTTCTTAGCCAATGAGAGTTGGATGGTAACCCAGGTGTGTCTAAACCAACACTTGGGTCCTTGGAACAGCTAGACCTGCACATAAACATTCTTTATACTTCGCAGTCTTCCAAGAAGACAGCAGTATGTTTACCTTTGGGCATAATTGTAAGTGGTTGCATAAGCATCCAGAAATGAGCCAATCCCTTGTAATGTGAAAGGTGCACCTTGTACAGGCAATTCTGATACTCTTAGTAAGAGCTGCTGGGACCAAAGGATAAAATAAAATATCTGCAGAAGAATTCTGCAACGCTGTCGAAATGCCAAAGTGAAACGAGGATAGGGGATTGAAAGATTGCTTTTACCTGGGAAACCACATTCTTTGGGACACATGTGATCCAAGTGATTGATTTAATTTGTCTACAACTTCAAAGCAAGCTCTAGGCTGGGGTGAAATCAGGGAACAGATCATGCCAGAAGAAAAAATAAGCTAAAGTAATTAAATACACAAGGTTTTCCTTCTCCTTGGCACCTAAAACATATTGGAGTTTTTTAAGCCAGAAAAATTACTCACTGGCATTTTTTTGATAATCTTCATTTATAAAATTTTTTTTGCCAAAATAAATATCACCAGATGATTTTCTTATGTAGCCAGCACTATAGCAGTTAAACCATAAAGTGATTTACAACTTGCTAGCTTATGAGATTATTTTGTGGTATTATTCTTGCTGCTTTGTCTTCCTGGGCTGAAGGAGTTAGAATTCTGCAGATGGCACAAGAGCCATCTATGTCTATGGTCTATGCAAATGGCTGATATCTCGAAATAAAATATTTGCTAGACAAGGGAACTATATTTACTAAACTGTATTATATTAGGTGTTAACCAAATTTGCTTTCCTACTTTTTAATATCATGTCTGCGGTAGGACATTGAAACCCCTAAATGCAAGACAATTTGAACTTTCCTCTCAAAATAATGATAATCTAACAGGGGTGCTATACTAAGCATAAATGTTTATCTGAGAAAACTCCACTAGCAATTTTCTTCTGGAGATCAGCTTGAGCTCTCCATCTGATCTTTCCAAACTTAAAGCTGCATTTCATTTATTTTTTCTCCTTAACATCAAAAAACTGATCTTTTCTTTACAAGTTTACTTTCTCCCTGCTTGATTAGACTACCTTAAATCCAAATATGGGAGAAAATGTTTTCTTCTCGCTTATTAAACTTGGAGAGTTTAATGGTTCAAAAAACCTGAGTTACTGATGGACATTATTGAAACAAAAACTATAGTAGGAAGGGCGAAGGGAGAATAAAGTAAACTGTCTTCTAAAAAAGGGGTATGATGCATAGTAGTCTGAACTGTTATAATTTTATCACACTGACATTATAAATGTAATAAAAAGTTAAAAAATGTAATATTTACAGAAATTTTCTTATTTGTTGACCTGCTAAGTGCTAAACTTCAGGTGTCCCTTAGGCTAATGTAGAAAATATGTGACATTTTCTTCATCAAGTTTCTATCAGTTACAGATTTGTAGTAGAGGGGGACTTAAATTAATCTTGAGAAAATAAGATTTTAAACTCTCAAAGTTTAAGAAGTGAGCACAAACATTGTTTACTATATTTGGATTTAAGGTCATCCGATGAAGCGGAGAGAAAGTGAAATTGTACAGAAAATGTAATTTTTATGATGTAAAGAAGAAAAGAAAATGAAGCACAGCTTTAAAAAAAGACAAAAAGAAAAAATCACATCTAAACAGGAAATATTTTTAATCTTCAATTGTCAAATTGGGAAAAGGGAAGGATTGGCAGAACTGAAAAATAAAAAAGAAATAATATAACCGATTGAAATACTGATGAACTAAGTGAAGCTACATTGTAAGGGATGTCAAGGCATATGTTGATTCTTTGAAATTCCTTTTCTAAATTCCTGTGTAGTGTACTTCTTAGGAGCACTCTTTAAATATCGCTGACCTTTCACATCAATACAGGAACACATGAGACGGAAGCAGATAGCTCTGGCTCTGAGTGCCTCAGCCATTGTGAGAGCTGTGTCCCAGGTATGCGTTCGTATTTCTTGG